GGTTATAAACAATCTGAGGCTGATTTTTCCCTTTTTACTAAAACACATAATAATTCTTTTACTGTGATATTGCTTTATGGTGATGATCTTATTCTTGCAGGTAATGATATGATTGAAATTACTTCAGTCAAATCCTATTTACATCATAAATTTACCATTAATGATCTTGGTGAGCTAAAATACATACTAGGTATAGAAGTAGCTAGATCTGAAACTGGACTAGTTTTAAATCAAAGAAAACACACCCTTGATATTCTTTCTGATTTTGGTTATCTTACTTCTAAACCTTCTTCTACCCCTATGGATTCCAAAATAAAACTTTCAAAAAATGATGGTACTCTTTTAACTGACCCTGAAAGCTATAGAACCCTAATAGGCAAATTACTTTATGTTACTGTCACAAGGCCTGACATTGCTTATTCTGTGCAAACTCTTAGCTAGTTTCTTTCTTGTCCTACTAATATTCATATGATTGCTGCACATAGGGTGTTAAGGTATCTTAAAAGTTCTCCAGGAAAAGGTTTGTTCTATCCCTCTAAATCTACTTTTCAAATTCAAGCATACACTGATTCTGAGTGGGCATCTTGCATTGATACTAGAAGAAGTATATCTCGTTATTGTTTTTATTTAGGTGAATCTTTGATTTCTTGGAAATCAAAGAAACAAGCTGTTGTGAGTAGATCTTCTACTGAAGCAGAGTATAGGGCTGCTGCAAATGCAGTTTGTGAAGCTCAATGGCTTACTTACATTTTTCAAGATTTAAAAACTCCTATTTCCTTGCCTATTACTCTTTATACAGATAATAAATCTACTTACTATATTGCACATAATCCTGTTCAACATCAAAGAACTAAAACACATTGAATTAGACTGCCATTTAATAAGAGAAAAAATTAATTCAGGTCTTATTAATTTTGTACATATTCCTAACAACTTTCAACTTGCAGATATATACACCAAACCTCTTGGAAATCCTCTCTTCAATCAGTTTGCAAACAAGATGAACATGCTGGACATCCATGCTTATTTTGAGGGGGCGTCTAAAGAATAAAAGATTGGGATGTTTCCTTTTTTATATTGGGCCTGTTATTTTAGCCCATCTTATATTACATTAGAATAACCTTTTAGCCTTTAGTATATAAACTGTATTTCCAGACCTAATCCTCACTAATTCATATTTTCGATCATCTTCTTCCTGAGATTACTGCTTCCGCATTCTCCGATGCAAATCTTTCTGTAAATTCACACCGGGACATAACTCTTGTGGCACTCCCTTGCTACCCGTTGAGCTACGCCCACCGGTTTCTTTGCCTTTAATTTGATCTATGGATGGTTGCCATCCAAATTCGGAATTATTATATTCGGTAAATGATTCAATCTTTCTTAAATTGTCGAATTTGAGGAATTGTGAAAACTATATATACATTTCTACAATTAGAGTGAAGAAAAAGTGATTGAGCCGTAATTCAACCCCTTAATTAAAATGTTTGTGTCATGTCATTTTTGGCATTATTTGAATGATAAAACAGTTCACAGTTTTTGTAATATTTAAACCATTTTGGCTTGACAATTGTGCTAGTCACAAACATGTAGGAAAATGGGAAATATTTATTATATTAAACCTTTAAATTATTACAGCATTAGAACTTTGTCATTCTATAAGACCGTTTCAAAGCAGACTAACCTCTTAAATGTATTGACTTCTAAAGTTTCCCATTAAACTATGGGATTATATCGTGCTTTGCTTTAGCTACAAATACCCACTTTTTCCTTTTATTAGTTCACAAATCCTTTTAGATCTACAAATCATAAAGTCATTCGTTACTTGGCAAAATAGTCATAGAATAAATCTAGAAGTTCCAAAAGTCAGGTTGCCTCCAAGTCACCAAATCAATTGGAGAGTAAAACTTTATTTGTTCGTTTTCTTGCGTAATCCCCACTTTAAAAATGATCAACTGACACTTGACAAAAAATAATGAAGTATGAACTAAAAAGAAAATATGGTAGATGAAGTTCCTACTATTACTCAATACATTGCCCCCAAAAACATTTACATTCATCTGTTCATTTCATTATTAATTATATGATGTGTGAGTTATTTTAAAGAATATCGAGAGATGTTGTTATTAGAGCGATTTTTAAAATAAAATTTGGTACCAGTGTTTAAATGCTGGATAATTTTGGATTGCACTTAAAATATATTTAACGTATGTTCTAGAAAAAACTGATTACATGAATATCATTATTGATGAAAAAAATTGATCTTTGAAATTGTTTAAATTTCATTGCACAACAATGATGTGACAATTAGATGTAACCAAAAAGATCTTATTCTTAGAGCATCAATTAATACTCTGAATTCATCCCAAATATCCCACTCTTCTATCTTACTCATTTTCTCCTCAAATAAGTGTCATACGCTCATACTTAGCTTATTACTATGCTCTAACAATTTCCAACTTTAATTTTTTTGTTATACTATTTAACTTTACATAAAGGAATAAAAAGTTAAACGTAGAAGCTTGTTAAAATTAAAAGATGCAATTATTGTACTAATTGTAAATGTGGAATCATGAAATTTATTATTTAGAGATGAAAACATTGGGTATTTACAAATACACACAGTGAACGCACACTTTACATTTATATAATTTATATACTCGGCTTTTAATTTTTCCTAACACAAACCTTTTCCCTTGAACTGGTGTAACACTCTTATATTATGGGTGTAACTTTAAACTTGTCTCGTGGAGTTGAAGTAAATTGAAATTAATTATATTGGATATATAACAATAACAAAGTGAGCTAAATGGAAACGTAGAAAAAATTACATTAAGGAAGAGGTTTTTTCGCCCTCATCGTCTGGCTGTGATTCTGATCCTTTGTTTATAAAAACTACATTAAAATGATTAGTGCAGAATCATACATGAACATACAATTTCACATTAATGATAAGTACATTAAATATGTTTATTATAAGTATGAATATAGAATTTAATTTTTTTGAATAATAATACTCCGTCTCTAACTAGAATATTCACTTTTCTTTTATGAACGCCTCTAAATAAAGTCACATTTTCCTATTTGGCAAATAATTTTATATCAATTTACTCTACTACCATTAAATAATAATGATAGTACAATGCAAAATAAAGTTAAATAACGTCAAAACAGTGTACTCTACGATATAATTTGCCCCCTTAGTAAAGGGGATATTTCAGGAAGTGAAAATAAAAATTATTTTCTTAATATGCGAGCAATTCAAACCAAGACTTTAATTGTATAGGAAGAAGGGAGTATATTTTCTCACCAAGACTTACATATTCTCTTTCTTTATGGTGATGGGCTGATGGACGGATGGTAAATAATGTAAATCTTTACTATTTGTACAATACTATACAATTACTTAGTAAAAACGCATATTCCTATATACTTTCGCTTTGTTCAGTCGTGATTGTCCATGTTACTAAATATACATTGATCACCATATTCGTTCTTTTGAGTCTTCTCTTTGTAAAATGTTAAATAGAAAACCACATTAAGGTTTAGTCTTATTGTTTGTATTTTACTTATTGTAAGATGATAAAAAAACTACAAACTTTGCACAGAGAAGCCATCCTCACACCCCTCCTCCTGCGTTCTAAGTCCCGCGTAAATAATCAACTTATACCTATTCGATTTTTGAACCGGGTCCATGCGTACTTGAGATGAGTAGAGGGTGACATAAAAAAATCCACAAATTAAAATTTCTTGAGAGAGGAATGAAAAACAATAAATAATTGATCTAGGTAATAATGAATTAAAAGTAGACTACAATTTATAGATTTAAAAGTGCATATTTAGTACAATTAAACTTTAAAATTAATGAAATTCTAAAAAGTGGACCTTGGCCTTTTACATTAATAAAATTCTCATGAGCTGCTAATTAGGAGCAGCCTAAATGGTCAGTTTGTGCTAAAATTCCTAAATATTTGTCCATTAATTCTTACTAGCTATCAATCAATCTTTAGCATTTTCATATCCCTCGATATTAATTATTGGCACCGATCAAAGTAACCTTAGCCATCAAGATACTACCACGAAGTTGCATGACGAGATGGAGAGTGAACAAGTTTTAAGTGCTGAAGTAGGTCAGTGTGCATATGTCCTCCAGATGCTTGCACTCGAAGATAAGTGGCTACTGGTCAGGCAACATTCCTTCCTTGTCCTTGATCTTCCCCTTTAAATTTTTCAGACCCATCGAATGGTATAACCACCAAGGTGAATGTCTTGCCTGTCAGGAGTTTCACAGCTACTCCCCCCGTCCTGAAATAATTGTTCTGCTTTCCTTTTTGGTCCGTCCCAAAATAATTCTCCTTTCTTTATTTGGTAAACAAATCTATACAAAACAGTGTGAAACAGTGTTAAACAGTGCCAAACAGTGTCGCTACAGTGCCAAACAGTGTCGCTACAGTGCCAAACAGTGTCACTACAGTGTGAAGTCAACTTTGTTTTCTTAATCTGTGTGAAGGTCAAAACATGACGATTATTTCGGGACGGAGGGAGTATCTGTGAAACTATTAAACTGGTGAATGGTGATGTATATACTATGTACTATCCTCCGTATCTCATTAATTGCAACATTGAAATATATACACTATTCATGTACTTTACTTTGACTACATTTTCTTTATTAATGTATCTGAATTATTTTTTTTGAAAAATGTTGTTAAATTCGTCTCATTACTAAGTTTTATAATCAAATTTTTATTCTATTTTTTCTAATACAGAATTAAATATAATGACGGTCAAAGTTGTGCGTTGGCAAACGTGAAATGTTGACTGTTTCAACTAAAAAGAAACGGAGGAAGTATTACGTAGTTTTATACTAGTAATAAACTATTAAACCATTAATTTATTACAGAGGCGGATCATTGCAAGGGCGGGATGGGCTGAAGCCCAGCCCAATTTATTTATTTATTAATATAGGTATATATTTGATTAGCAGCCCAAAATTAATTCCCAGCCCATCCAAAGCGTGTCCAACTATTTCACTCACCTGCGGCGTCCTGAAGTCCTTATGCAATTGAAGAACGGAGGTCGAAGAGGAGCCTGGCAGCCTGCGACGAAACGACGAAGACTGAAGACGCTGTGAACTGCGAACACCAGCCGACCTGCAGCCACCAGCCGCGGCGCCGGAAGACGTCGCCCACTCGGCCGTCCTTTCTCTCCGGCTCTCCTCTCTGCCTGTAGCTCTTGAGCTCCGGCCTCTAGGTGACCAGATATACTCTAGCTCTGAATTTCTATACTCTCTTAGACTTTTATTAATTGATTTTTTCAGGGTTATTGTGTATCGTTATTTTTAGGGTTACATAGCGATTTGATTATTAATTGAATTTCTCAGTTCATAACAAAATACGAGTAGTGTTTATTCATTAATAATTTTTAATGATTAAAGATATAATTAAAGATTAGAGAATGATTTATTTATTATACAATTGAAGAATATAGATTGATTTATTTATTGTGTGGACATGTAAGAAAGAATTAAAATTTTCAATTGAATTTTGAAATTGGGAATACTTATTAGTCTTATATACAACTATTGCCTTTTCTTTTTAGTTTTATAATTTTATAGAAGTATTTTAATTCATACCAATATTCAAAATGTTTTTTAGAATGAATAATGATTAATGAGCATATTGACAAGAAAGGAAAGAAGTTGATTTCGTCATTCTTTCTCGTCAAAGTGGTGAAGGGAGTTCTGAAACTATACTTACTATAATGCAAGATCTACGAAATGAGGTTCCTCCACAAGACCAAATCCCTGAAATCCAAACTATCTCAAATTTGGGACTGCCTCCATCTTTTTGCATTAGTAGATATAGCTTTTATATTATTGATGAATTTTATACTTTGAAGTCGCGTAAGGCACAACTTAAATGATGTTTTGATGAATATTTAAAAGTGTTGACGACTTTACGTATTATTATGTACGTGTCTTCAAATTTTATTTCTCAACCCACCCCATTGTAGATTTTTGGATCCGCCCCTGATTTATTATATATTATACACAATATATGATTATATATATATATATATATTATACATATATAGTCGCCTAATTGTCACATAGGCGGGCGCCTTATCACCTAGGCGATATGGCGGTCGGCTGGCGCCGCGACTCGACTTACAGCCGTGACAAGTATGTTATATACGCACATATGTATGTAGAAGTATATTTGTAGTATGATTTAAAAAAGCATGTGTACTTATATATTGAGCGGGGCAGGGCGGCATGAGTCAATACTAATACCTGGACCCGCCCAAGAGTTGCCGAGGGCTCACATGTTTTTCTCATCTTTTGGAACTATATAACTAGATATAAGATTGTTTTACTTGTCGGCGTTTTCGCCAGAGTTCTGGTATAATTTTACTTTCCTAGAATACTTGGCATAAAGGTTAATTAGATAACATATCACATATGTTACACATGTATCTGTCATCTAACAAAAAACGGTTTTGTCTAGGATTTATCATCTTTGGATAGTACGAAGTATATCTTTTTGTATTAGAACTTTCCCAGCTTAGCATAAGTATAATTTTACCTTGTATTATTGACATAATTAGAAATATTTTAGGCTTTATTCATAGTCATTTAGAGTTTATGATAGTGGCTGAAGATACATACTTAGTGTGTAGCCTTCTCAATACTGAGAAAGAGATAGTTGTTTATAGAGATTGTAGAATAGCTTGTTTGACTTCTAACTCATGCTTGCATGCACCATGTGGTTTAGGATATATACAGTTTTAAATCATCATTGCATTTATTTAGGCATTAATGTTTTGATTTAAAGTGTCATATCGAGTTAGTGATAATGTCTAAGCACACACATACAACTTTTTATTATCATGTGTGATGTACATCACGATCTTTCGATCTGGCAGAGTGGCAAGTGTTTTAAAAGTTCTCCTCACCCCATTACAAGTGCTAGGCTGCTAGCATTACATATATAAAGATTAAAGAAGACTAAAAAACTATTGAAAACCATTACCACGACGTTTGGTGTTGTACATTTATTCTTATCCAATCCTATTTGCTAGAGCCTAGAAGATTATATCGATCCGGTAAACCCCCTTTTACCGTATAGAAAAATCTCTTTAGAAACCCCAATTTTTTCTATGCCGGACTCTACTGTAGAGGCACATTCATTTGAGGAAGTGGGAGTTTGGAAGTATACAATTTTCCTCATCTCGTTCTGATTCTCCGCATACCGTTCCTAGTATTATGCTCTGACATTACAAATATGTAACTTATTTGTTCTCGTGAGTCGTGACTATAGTGTACCTGATGATAGTACAAATATGTAAGGAGTAGGTCAATGAAAGTGTATAAAGAAGTAAGGAGCAGGTCACCTGTTACTTCTATCTACATTATGCCTTTAATTTATAAAGTACAAGAGCGCCTCTTATTTGTACACGTCCTTATACACGTTCTTATACACTTGTCTGTGATAGGTCATTTTTTTGTCTGTGAATCGACGTGTTTTGTCTGTCACAGACAAAAAAATATCCACAGACAAGTTTTGTCTGTGAATCTCGTTCACAGACAATAAAAATGACCTACACAGACAAGTGTATAAGAACGTGTATAAGAAAACGTGTACAAATAGGTTTTTTGTTGTTTCGTAACCTAGCCAATAGATCTAAGATAAGGACTACAGGGAATAATGGATGGTACCATTTTTTTCACTTGCTTTCAGAGTTATCATATCTAAACTTTGTAAACTATTAAAGAAGTTGGGAGTAAGTCACCTCATACTTTCTTTTTGCATTAGTCCTTCGTTTTATCAAGTGAAAGAAATGCATTTTATACTGTTTTCTAAGCCTATAGATCTAAGGTAAGGACAGCAGATGGGTTATGAATGATACGGAGTATTATTTAACTTTGTATCAATTGGCTAGTGGGGTTCAAGATCTTGTTTTCTGACCAAAACTTTTAACAAATATTAGCTGGGGAAGTTACTACATCATGTATAAAAACCTCAAATTGTAAGATAAAGTTCTTTGTTTGACAAAGTAATGTGGACACTGGACACAACACTGATAAAATATATCCAGCAAGTTTAACTATTAAGAGTCTCATTTGGGGCTCTTAAAGCTCTGCTTCTTATGGTGCCTCAAATAACATAATAAAATGCTATTAAAGTTCTTGTTTGGTACCACCATTATTGTTGCTTATTTGCTAATAATTTATTTAAGTCTTGTGCATTGTATATTTGGGATATGGGAAAATGGTTAGTTGTAGAAATGATTTTCCAGAAAAAGCTTGCCGAGTTTCCAAATAGACTTGTAGTTGATATCTTTTGCTTAGCAAAGTTAGCATTTTTTTAAATATAGTTTTTATGCTGGATTTGTAGTTTGTTGGATTCTTCTAGTCAACATAGTTATGTTTTATGTTTTGCTCTGCCACGTTTATATTATATTACTGGACTGACGAGTGCATCTTTATTGTCAGGGAAAAATAAGTGGTCCTGCAAGTTCATTCCGTAAATTTGTCTCTAGTGATGGCGTCATCTTCTTCTCGTCTGCTCCGTGGTAAGAGAGGTGCCATTTTAATGGCAAGTCCTTGATCTTGCAGTTATTTAGATTGTACTCCTTATTTGGATGGAGGGTTTTGTAGTTGGAAGTTCAAGGGTCAAGTCTATATATTGATATATGGGGTTTGACCATGGACAAATATAAGACCTCTTTTATTAATTTCCAAGAAAGAGACCATTCGGTAGTCTCATTTAAAAAATTGGGAAGCAAATATCCAAGTTTTTGAAAGGCGAAATCGGGCCTCGAGGCGTTCTGTGGTAGCCTCACGAGGCGTAAGCCTCGAGGCGTAACGAGGCGTAAGCCTCAAAATTAATTTCTTAAATGTTAAACAATATTGCACCTAAACAAAATCACAAGTAAAATGATTTGTTTACATGAATTTAAATAAACTAGATACACAAAATAGCCAATTAATTAATAATCAACTTAAAAAAAGAAGATATAACCAAACTGTAATGAAGTTATTTATAATATTTCTAATTAAATTGTAAATCTTGATCCAAGTAAAGTAGTAAACTAGTAAAGTACGTAATATTAAACAAATAAATAAGCTAAATGATAGTTTTATGATCACTTTAAAGTTTAAACCATAATAATACAGTAATAATATTGAATGGCAACCATAATATCTTATACCAAAACAACTAAGAAGTGGGGCGGTGGGATGTTTTATAGTTTGCTGGCTGAAAAAGCATTAATACGTAGTAGATACAATAAAAACTGAACTTTTAAATAATTAAAAATTTAAATAAATATTCCGGTACATTTAAACAATAAATACAATAAGAAACAAACTTCAGAAGCTGCGGTGGGATATTTTATACAAGTGGGCGGTGGGATATTTTACTCTATTTACTTGATAACACCTGGAATGGAAGCAACTCTGAAAGATCGAAGTCTATGTAGTATGTACTCAGCTTCTAGGCTTCGACTGACAGTTCTTCATGTCGCTCTTCGTAGTAGTGGAGCTAGGGCTGTCTTGTGTCGACTAAGAGATAAACATGCAGTAATTTTTTTATTTTTAAAAATCGAGGCCCCCAATAATTCAAAAAAAAGCCCAAGTTGCACTTAATTAAATGCGTACGCCTCAACTTCGCCTTGCGCATTGGACCGCATCACCGCCTCAGTAAAAAAAAGGCGTAAGCCTTGTTAGTGGAAGGCCAAGCTTAAGCCTTGCAGGCGACTTTTTAACGCATTAGCGCCTTTGCGCCTCAGAGGCGTAGATGCGAAATGCCTTTTAAAACCATGCAAATATCACATATGCCCCTGCTGGTCAACTTTGTACGTATAGATGCATTCCTTCGAGCCAACTTTGTACGTATGGATGCATTCCTTAGAGCCATTTCAGACGTTCTGCAGATGCTAGACCGATAAAAGAGATTTGTTTTGACTTTTATAACCCTCCGCCGTTTGTCATCGACCCGATTATGATTTACAATTATTTGACCCGATCAGTAACACATACCCGCCCGATCAGTTATAGTTACCCAATTTGACTAGTTGGGATGGAGGGAGTATTTGGATGGAGGGTTTTGTAGTTGGAAGTTCAAGGGTCAAGTCTATATATTGATATATGGGGTTTGGTCATGGACAAATATAAGACATCTTTTATTAATTTCCAAGAAAGAGACCATTCGGTAGTCTCATTTAAAAAATTGGGAAGCAAATATCACATATGCCCCTGCTGGTCAACTTTGTACGTATAGATGCATTCCTTCGAGCCAACTTTGTACGTATAGATGCATTCCTTAGAGCCATTTCAGACGTTCTGCAGATGCTAGACCGATAAAAGAGATTTGTTTTGACTTTTATAACCCTTCGCCGTTTGTCATCGACCCGATTATGGTTTACAATTATTTGACCCGATCAGTAACAATTACCCGCTCGATCAGTTATAGTTACCCGATTTGACTAGTTATAGTTACTCGATTTGACCAGTTATAATTACTCACTCAACCTGATCAGTTACAGGGTTACCCGATCCGACCAGTTACAGTTACTCGATTGACCAGTTACATTTATCCGATTCGGCCAATTATAGTTACCCGATTAGACCAGTTACAGTTACCTGACCCGATCACTTACAGTTACCCGATCTAACTAGTTACAGTCACCCAACCTGTCAATTACGGTTACCCGACCAATTAAAGTTACCTAATCCGACCAGTTACAATTACCTGATCAACCAATTACAGTTATCTGATCTGACCCGTTACAATTACCTAATCCGATAATGACCACCACTACCACCACCTCCGGCCACAACAGTTAATGACGGTAGCGTTGCCACCGTCGACGGCCACCACCGTCGGCAACCCCCCAGCACACTTGTCCGACGGCCAGCCTCCCCAGCCCCCTCTCCTGCCTCCCCCAACGCCCTCGCCTCCCTCTCCAGCTTTCCCCCTCTACAGCCACCTCCCCCCACCCAATCCACCTTCCCAATCCGTGCACCACCACTGCCACACTACTCCCCAACCCCGTTGCTGCCACACTCCAGTCACCACCCCCGCCCTCCTTCCCCACCATCCGCCGTAATTGCCTATTCCAGCTGCCGCACCACCGCTAATAAACCCTAGCCACCACATCTCTTCCTATATCCTTACCGAGCGCAGCCGCCTCCGTCGGATCTGACTGTTACAGGCATCGTCAGTCGCATCCCCAAAATCGGACAAAAGAAGAAGAAAAGACGAGGTAGACAGCGACGGCATACGATGGAGGAAGGAGGCGGCGTACGATGCGGGATGGAGACGGCGTCACTGCTGGCTCCAAGATCTACAACTAAAGGGTCCCAACTCTCTATTGTATACTGGGTTCGTTTCCTATTTTCGTGAATCGCGTTTTTCAAGTTTTCTTTTTTCTTTCTTTATCGGACAGGTGTATGCTGGAGAAGAATGATGCCTCCCCTTTTTTTTGCAAGAAGTGGAACTACAAGAAAACTTTCTTTATCTTTATGGATAACCAATTCATTTTCAAATATAGTTGGGAGACTTTACCCAAGAAATGGGTAAAAAAATTTGCAAACTGACGTTTCATCTCGAATTGCAAACTGGGAACAATGTTTGGACCTGTGGCGGTGTACGCTTTGCGGCGATGTTGGGACCTGTGGCGGCATACGCTGGGTGGTGATGCTGGGACACTGGACAGTGGACAGGAGTCTTCTTCACACGCAGATTAGAAAGAAGAGAACATGGATGCAGACGTCGACCAAATGCTTTTTTCTAATTTTTGTTATAAGGGTATTTTAGTCTTTTAACTGGATTTGAGTCTCTTTTTTTGTCTAAAGAGAGGTGCAGTCCCTTTTTTGTCCATCTCAAACTTGCAGGTAGTATGTATGCCATTCTTTCTTGATATATACTTGTGTGTGTGTATATATATATACACACACACACACACACACACACATATATATATATATATATATATATATATATATATATATATATATATATATATCAATCATTGTTGGTGTATACAAAAGGTGTACCATTTGGCACACTCTCATGTGTACACAGACAATTGTTGCCTTTTTCTAAACAAACTGTCTACACAAGCAACTAGAGGGTCTACACATTTTGTGTACATTTTGTATTGCCTGTGTACACAGACAATACAACTAGGGGGTGTACACGTTTCGTGTACCAATGGTATTTTTGTATATATAGAGAGAGACTTTGGATCAAATACAAAGTGTTCTTCCCATGAAAAGTAAGAATGAATATGTTGCATCGGATTTAGAAACTAATGGGCCTAATGGCTCTAATTATGTTGAAAATGCATTAAAATGGATGAAATATGTGATGACATTTTCATAAATATATCAGTTTTTTTATTCATTTCAAAAAGTGGACTTTCGAGATGCAATAGTGTAACGTATATGATCAAAACTGGATAGCAGAATCGTCCAAATGCAATAGTGCACCGAAAATGACCAAAAGTGGAGTCATTCGCACTGTCTACGAGAACGCCACTTAATATTGGAACCGAACCCTATATTTATATGGCAAAAAAGAGAATATCTATATCTATCTATATATATATATATATATGATCTGGTTTCAGTGATAATAGTTCTTCCCTTGAGAAATGAGAATGATTCAAAGAGGTTCATATCGAGGTTTTTGGAGTTGCACATTTCTGTTCTAAAATAATGCACATTTTTCAACAAAAAGCTCACTTTACAAATATGTCCCTACATTTTCTCATTTACGACACTGCACATTTTCAATTTGAAAAAATGACCAGATTCATTCTCATTTATCTCTGATCATATTTTCATTTGATCCAATATACATCCATACATACACACATATACATAACACTTCGTATATATAGATTTTGGATCACTCCCCAAACAAGCCTTTAGTAATGATAATGTCTTGCACGCTAGATTGTACAATATCATCATGAATCATGAAAAAGCAGTGACATTTGTGTGAATAATTTTAAAAAGTCTACAGACCCCAATTGCACTACTCACAATGGGGTCTGCACTGAAATGCACCGTATGTGCACCTTGGCACGTGAAGTGTGCTTTTTACAGGAATCACATCATTTTTTTCATTTTCATTTACCCCAGTGCCGCAAAGGCTCCCACATACGGTGGGGTAAGGGGGGGTCGGATGTACGCAGTCTTACCCCTATACTAAAGCACAGAGAGGATGTTTCCGGATGACCCATAGTGAAAATCGCGTCCAAAATTGCATGGACTGACTGCTGCTTCATTACAAAGAAGCGCAGACAGTTTAGTGAGCCATTTTGCTTTATTCCATCATAATCTCAAGCCAAAAAATAATGAATCTTTGGCTCCATTGCAAATGATGGAAATTTTACTGGAATCACATCTTATATAAATATTTATTTACTTATATAGAGTAAGGATCAATTGAGAATGCAGTTTAATGAGATAAATGATAATGAATCTGGTCCGCTAGATTTGAGAGTTGTGCATCTTTTTTGTTTTCTTACATTCTTTTGTTTTTTGGTAGAACATAGTATGATCCAATTATCCTTGATTATATCCTTGAAGTGTGATTTTTTGGACTAGTTGTTGAAGAAGACAGTCCATTTTGACTGCTAACGACAAAAGAACTCGGATAATGTTGAACTCTGCTACTAGTATATATGTTTCATTGTAATCAAAGCCATATGTCAGTCTGAACGCTTTTGCTACCAATCAAACTTTATATTGCTTAATTGTTCCATCAGCACTGTATTCACAGTAAACAACCACTTACACCCAACTGGTTTCTTTCCTCTATACAGGTTTATTAGATTCCATGTCTCATATTGCTCGAGAGCCTTCATTTCTTCCATAATAACTATTTTGAACTTGGGGACACTCGAAGCTTCTTGAATATTGTTAGGCATACTTGTGTTGTCAAGATTAGATGTCGTCATCATCATCATCATTACCCCTGTGACACAAAGGCTCCCAGTTACGGTGGGGTAAGGGGGGTCAGATGTACGCAGTCTTACCCCTATACTAAAGCAGATAGAGACTGTTTCCGGATGACTCATAGTGAAAATCGCGTCCAAAGTTGCATGAACTGACTGCTGCTTCATAACAAAAGAAGCGCAGACAGTTTAGTGAGCTATTTTGCTTTATTTCATCATATTCTCAAGCCTAAAAATAGTGAGAATCTTTGGCTCCATTGCAAATGATGGAAAATGTTGTCAAGATTAAATGTAAACACATGAAATCGAGTAGACAAGCGATTATAGGATATGTATTTAGTAAGACGATGGAGTGCATTTTCTGGGTTGTTTTTTAACAACAATAGGTAGATCAATGTCCAGGGAATGAGAGTACCTGATAGAGTAGGAAAATCCTCATCTCTTGGAGCTATCAACGGTTCTGATCCTTGGAGTGCATCCAGTGGGAGTAGCCGAGTAGCTTGTCAAAGAATGTAACATCCATAGTTCCATACTGACATAGACTTCAGTTGTTGGGTCATCACATTTATATTCCTTTTGTGTTGGTGAATAAGCAATGGACTCACATTTTCAAACACAAGGGTCAAACTTACTTCGGTTGTGAGGGAAATATTTATGTATTTCTGCTATAGGGGTCTCAAAAGAGAGAGCACTACTTGGCATTCGGTTGATGAGGTAGGCTGAAGGTAGTATTCCCTTTTAGTTACAAAAAGCGTGCCTGGGGCGCGATTAGGTCAAAAAGAGGTTTGAAAAGCAGAGGTTTAAATATGTAAATCAAAGGATTTTATTTGCTAAAACTTGTTGTTTTTACCGTGCTGCCACACCCACGCAGCCTAGACTTTGTTATTTTGTGTACTTGTGCATATTTATTAGTCCATACGAATCAATATGAAGTCTTTATGTTGTTTGGATGATGATAATAACCATTTTTACTGATAATTGATCATAAAGTTTTTATGTTGTTTAGATTTCACATATAAGTTTTGATTTTGGTATTCAACACGTCTCTTGCTACTGTTTGAATATTTATTTTGTTTCTTTTGTGGCTGATTTTTGTGTTTATTAAGCTTGGTTATTGGTTTAAATTATTTTTGTGACTTTGTCATAATTTTTGGTCTGATGGTTCATGTAGAAGTAGGATAAATATAGTTTAGCAAAGCTGTATGACTAAGTACTGTGAGGTGGTCAGATTTAACAAAAAATCCTAATGCCTTTTGAAACCAAGAGTCTAAGAGTATTGTGTCACCCTGAAATTGTTTGGGTATATTGGTCGTGAACATTATGACCCAGCGACTTTGAGGAGGTGCCAATTTTTCGTTCAGCTATACTTGTTTTGTTGGGGGAGACACAGAATCAAGCTCAGTTGGAGACATTTTTGTTGTTGCATGTTGGAGAGAAGACAAGAGCGGGGGAAATATTTATGTAATTTTGCAATAGGGGTCTCAAAAGAGAGAACACTACTTGGCAGTTGGCATTCGGTTGATGAGGAAAGCTGAAGTGGGTATTGCACGGTTGCACCACCCAAAAATTGTTCGGGTACATTGGTCATGAACATTATGGCTCGAGTGACTCGGAGGAGTTGATTTTTGTTGGAGGAACATGGAATGAAAAACAACCAAATTTCTAAAAGCCTTCGCCTGAGTCGGAATGAAGCTAAGGTTTTTGGACTTTGACACATCACCATATGAACCGACCACTAAACCAGTCAGTCCCACTGAACTTTTATCACAGAGCTCTTATACCATATGAAAGTTAAAGAGAAGTAAAGAGATACATTTGGGATGAATAATTTGTATTCAATTGATTCAGAAGTTTACAACAAAGGACCTATAAATAATGGTTGGAAAAAGAACAACAGCTAAATAGTGTCACATTCAATAAAACAATATAGGAATTTTATCAATTCAGGACCCGAAAGATAGATGAATTATCAATCGGGGGACCTGAAAGATGAAATGTATCGGTATAGGACCCGAATGATGGAAAACTATCTATTTAGGACTTGAATGATTGAAAGTTATCAATTTAAGACCTAAGTTGTCCGAAATTTTATTAATTTTTTTATCTTAAAATTTTTAAATATTATTTAGTTTTATGAAACTAATAAACTTTTGGGAAGAAAAGTTTATCAAAAATTAGCAATGGAATTAATAAAAAATTAAATAAATCAAAAGCTATGAAATATTAGATCCTGGATTGATAGTTTTTCATCATTCGGGTCCTATACCGATAGATTTCATCTTTCAGGTCCCGGATTGATAATTCATCTATCTTTCGGGTCCTGAATTGATAAAATTCCAACAATATAATATTCGTGTACCCTGAGAGACATCCAATAAAATTGGAATCAGTATATATTTGTTTTAGAAATATAATAATGATCAAGATGTAAATTGCGCCCTCTAAAGCCCCCAACCCTTACCCCAAAAAATGTGAGTGTGAAGCACAATCCCACTATTCAAGCACACCTATTTGAAACTTGAGGACCTATTTTAAGTGCATCTGAAAGGTTCATGGTCAGCTGCAAATTACTTCAAGGATCATGTTTCATTGAATACTTGAATATGAAATGTACAAATTAGTTTCTGCCAACTAAAGGGGCATCAAAACATAATTTCTCATACTGCTTCTTTCTCTGTTTAGTTTTTACTAGTTATCTGCATGTTGTTATCTTATGGTTTTATTGTTACACGTGTGATGTAACTACTTTAGCAGGCTGTTCACTGTTCGGTAACCTTTTTCACAACTCTGCTGGGTTCATGAGAGTGTCAAATAAGGTTATATCCAATGTTTTGTATGCACAGGTTCGTCTGCCGTACTGTAATACAGAGTATGATTTTGGGGGTTTGCGTGTTCATTGTTCCTGTTGATAACCATGTATCACAAATGACATGATAGTATTGGACTCTTTGGAGGATTTTTAGTTTCTTTATTTTTTATTTCTTTAACGGGTTTTGTTTCAAAAATATTTCTAAAATAAAGCTTATTTACACAAATATGTTATGGTAACTTATCTTTAAAAATTGAAAATAAGTTACTATGATTCCATTACTATTCATTCCATTACTGTTCTAGTCACTAGTCATATCTTTGTAAACAATCTTTATTGTAGTCATAAATGTGTAATCATTTCTTTAACATTTGACCTATTACCTGGTCGTGGTTAGAAATGTAAGATCACATAGTACTAGCACTTCCATTTATGGAGCAAGTTGAAGCAAACTGAGTAAATAATGACAAAATGATATGAAAAATATCTTCCAACCCCATTATTTTACATCATTTAACGGTTGAATTAAACTGTTTGATTACAATTTATAATGTCTCCAGTTTTCTGCACTTTATGATAACTGTGGGCGAACTTTTAGTTTCCTTTCCCCTTTTCAGCAACAAAGAACCTTTATACAAATGAGGACCAAGCTTAAAGTGGTTGACAATTCAGGTGCAAAAAAAGTGATGTGCATACAAGCATTGAAGGGAAAGAAAGGGGCACGATTGGGTGACACCATAGTTTGCTCAGTCAAGGAAGCACAGGCGGGCGGAAAAGTGAAGAAAGGAGAAGTCCACTATGGTGTGGTTGTTCGTGCTGCAATGCCAAAAGGCCGATGTGATGGGAGTGAGGTTAAGTTTGATGATAATGCTGTTGTTCTTATCAATAAGCACGGTGAGCCGATTGGGACCCGGGTTTCCGGACCGGTTCCACATGAGCTTAGGAGGAAGAAACACCTCAAGATTCTTAGCCTTGCTGAGCATATTGCTTGACCTAAGGAGGTCATGCTCATGCACTGTCTGCCCTTTCTGCCCAGATGTCCTTTTGAAGTTTAGGATTTTTTTACTTCCTGAATTAAAATGTTTCCGTTCTTCACAAACAATGCGGACACATTTAATCCAGGACATTAAATTATGCTAAACATGTGGTTTGTTGTGGGTTGACTGGCAAGATAACTATGTATAAGGTCTGAAATTGCATGAAGGAACATGCTACTAATCCATGAAATTTCAAAAGATGACTTTGAAGATGGTCTAGATGGTCTGAACTCTGAATGGAAATGTGAAACGCAGTGTTGAGAATCGGAAACAGAATTGGATCTGCATGCAAGGGATTTTCGGGTTGGTTCTCAATTCTCAAATCACTTCCGCTCTGGTTATGATATTGGTTCCAAACTGATCACATATGCTACTCAGCTACTCTCTTATAAGTCGGTATCACCAACTCTTAAAATTTGGAACAATTACATAAACATTTGTTTGGGTAATGTTTTACCATAATATTATACTATGTACTAGTATTATACCTGTGCGATGCACAAGAAAATTTTATCAATATAAAGAATTCAAGGAAAAGTGCGAAAAAGGTACTTGTGGTTGGGTCCGTTTTCAGATAGGGTGATGTGTTTTATTCTTTATCAAAGTAGTTCATGTTTTTGAATTCCGTTATCACAAGAGGGTCACGTTGTTAAAAACGTCCAAAAAGATCGTTAAAAGTAACTCTGATTTTCCAAAGTTCTCGAAAAATTAAAAGAAAAATATCGAAAAGGTGCACCTCGTCAAGATGACATCCAAACCACCTTCGCCTTTGGATTGTTCAGATATGTTTGAATTATTTTTTAAAAATGATTTCTCTAATATCACTTTTCTGATGGACTTACTCGTGACAAGGGTGGCTGAAAATAAAAAAGAAAGATGATTTAGCGGTCGTCTTATACTCTTATTGAGGTGTACCTTCTGATATTTTTCTTTTAATTTTTCGGACATTTTTGAAAATTGAATTTACTTTTAACGGTCTTTGTCAGACGTTTTTAACAGTGTGACCCTTTTGTGATAACGGAATTCAAACACATGAACCATTTTGATAAAGAATGAAACACATGACCTTATCTGAAAACGGGTTCAACCACAAGTACTTTTTCCGTACATTTCATAAGAATTTATTCATATAAGAACACATATTTTGTCATATTATATATGCGTGGATGATTTTTTTTTGCTTACAAAAAATAAACTCTCCGTCTATGATTGACAATTTACACTTTATAATATACAACAGTCATGACTGCATAGTTGATAATCATTATTATTTAAATTTGATTTTTTTTAGAAAATTGATTGCGAGGCATAACTATTAATATTACTACGTATAAAATTGGATTTTGAATAACATGGATCCAGTCTTTTAGGTCTTAATGACACCTTAGATGTCAATGGTATTTAATGAATTTAATACTTAAACGTAACTACTCAGTATGGGATAATAAGAGTTTTTTTTCCTTCAAAATAATGTTAAAGAAAAAATAATTTACCAAATTAGAATGGAGTTAAAAGTAGTTCTCAAAATACTACTAAAATGAACCCTGGTTAATAAATTAAAGTCCCTAACTCAGTTGTTGAGTTTCTCTTAAACACCAAATTAGGAAGCGAATGTTATGAAGCTAGCAACCGAAATCTAGCAAATCAAATCACTTAGAGACGTTTGGTGACCGAATGTTATGAAGCTAGCAATCGAAAGCTAGCAAATCAAATCACTTAGAGCCGTTTAGTGATCCAATTTTTTTATTTATCAGCCTCATCACTTATGCGAAAAGTTGTGTGATGATCAACATAAAGGGGTTATGTCTAAAATATTACAAAAAAAAGAGATAGACAAAAAAGTGACATTTTTCTTAATTTCCGAAAATGAGACTAAAAAGAGGCTAGGAGTCTAGGAGACCATTATACCCTTATACTAATATAATCTCACCAGTTAATGCTAGAGTAACGTAATCGTGACCAGTTTTGCGTCCATTTGAGTCTCTTTTGTGTCCACTTTTAAAATTGGTACTCCCTCCATTCCATTGAACTTTTAGCAACTTTCCCCTTTTGGTTATCCAATTAAATCAACTAATTTGTGGTTTTGCACATTTCTCTCTCTTCTGCACAAATCTCAACCACACAGTTTTTACTTTTCTTATTTCTCACCTACTTTGCAATTGGCAAAGTTCACCGGGACAGAGGTAGTACTGTTTTTGTCTAAGGAGATGTTGGAGGTATTATTTTTGTCATTCTTTCCAATACATAAATAAGGTTGAAGTTACTTTTATGACTGGATTGGCCGAAGCTAATGTAGAGGACTATTTTAGCTATATATATATATGTATATATATGTATATATATATATATGTACGTATATATATATATATATATGTACACATATATATATATATATATGTACACATATATATATATATATATATACACATATATATACATATATATACATATATATACATATATATATATACATAAATATATATATATATATAGATAGATTCCGGATCAAATAAAAACCTTTCTTCCCGTGAAAACTACAAACCAATCACTTTTCTCCCATTCTGATGCACTATTAGCTTTCTATATTGCACTTTTTCACGAAGGCATACAACTTTGACTTATCTACAAAAGTGCCACCGTTTTTTTTCTATTTGAAATGATTCGACCAAAGTTTAAAAAGTGCAAGAGACGAGCTTTAAAGTGAATCAAATTGAGTCAAAAGTGACGGTTTGCAGTTTGCACGATAAGGATGGTTTTTATCGGAACCGCACCCTATATATATATATATATATATATATATATATATATATATATATATATATATATATTATGAATAAAATATATTTTTTGTGTAATTTTTCACAATTCAACAGAATCAACCAATTCAGCCACAACTTCAAATATTGCATCTATAAAAATAAAAGTAAACCTAAAGATAAGGTTGGTGGAGTTTTTTAAGTTCAAAATTTTTCTTAATTGGATCCAAGTTCTAATATTAAGAGTCTGTTTGGTAACAATGAAATTGGTCGATTCTGCTGAAATTGATTAAGCTCGGGCTGAATTGACCGAATTTGCGTAATAAAGAAGTAATCATATTTAAAATATATATTATTAATAAAACAAAGAAAATTTATATGAAAAGTAGCTAAAATATTCATCTATAGTAACTTTAGTAAAAAAAGAAACTCAAAACTCACTTATTTTGATTATCATACAATTCATCCCACGAATAAAATCCTACGTGTTTGTGAAAATGATGACTTATAGAACTAATAAGCCGAATATAGGGGTCACCAAATGGGCTCTAAGATCTCATAATTGTACAATGCAACTTCATTCTTCAAAATGGGAACACTTTATTTATTGACTAAAAGAGTCAATGGAGAAAGCTACTGATTGTTATTTATTCTATTGATTAGATTTGAGTTGTTTTTAAATGTAATATTTTAGAATGTAATGTCCCCTTATTAACACTCCCGGCCAATAAATAAAATGTTCCCTAATTGCAGCATTAAATCACGCTATTCAATCATGATATCTTAATTTTAGAACTTAAATGTACTTAAAAATTATGAGTCTAAGACCCTCCACCTATTTGGTCTTCATATTTGTTTCTGTTTTTATATATGCAATATTTGTTTCATATGAAAAATGTTATGAATTTTGATTTTCTTTTTTTTCTTAAAAACTGAATTATATAAAAAAAAGTTATAGCAGTTTGAAAAGAGAGTTTTTTAAGGAATTTTATCAATTCAAGATCCGAAAGATAAATGAATTATCAATCCGGATCTGAAAGATGAAATGTATCAATATAGGACCCGAATGACGGAAAACTATCAATTTAGGACTTTAATGCTTGGAAATTATTAATTTAGGATCTAAGTTGTCCGAAATTTTATTAATTTTTTTATCTTAAAATTTTTAACACTACAAAATAACACCCAATCAGCTACGGCTAATCTGCGACGATAAAAACCGTCGCTAATCTGCGACAGATTTAGCGACCAATTAGCGACGGTACCGTTGCTAAACCGTATCAAAAACCATTGCAAATTTAAGATTTTTTTTTCGTCGCTAGGCCGTCTCAGTGATATTTGCTCTTCAAGTTTGGTCGCTATTCCGTTGTTTTCATCTTCTTCACATCTTCTGTATATACAATAATGCATACGACCACTCTGAAAGAAAACACATCCGAGAAGTCTAACAAAAATGTTTAATATAGATAGAAGTTGGATGTATGAAAGATATGACTCATTTACAAAAAAAGGCTCTCATAGATTTATTAGTGGTGTCAAGAGTTTTGTTGAATTTGCTAGAGTTCAACATGAATTTATGAGTGAAGAAAACATTCGTTGTCCATGCCGAAAGTGTAAAAATCGGCGTTTCTATGACACCGAAACCGTCAAACTTCATCTTTTTCGACATGGATTTCTCACAGATTATTATATTTGGACATCTCATGGTGAATTATTACAATTCCAACCACCACCATTACTAGAGAACCAATTTGGGGAAGGAGATGAAAGTCATGGTGCCCATATTTCTTCAGCTTCTAGGACTCAACCTGAAACTCCCTGGGATCAAAGAATGCTTGGAGATATTTTTGCAGGAAATGTGCCACCGGTGGACACCACAAACTGTGTTCCACAAACCACAGGTCATGATTATAATAATGTTTCTCCAAATGTAAATGATGTTTCTTATTTGGCAGACCAATTTCATAATGTTCTACAAGCAGCAGATCAACCTTTATATGATGGATGTGAAGAAGGTTCGCAGTTACAATTTGTTGATGAGGTAATGAGTATTAAATCTGACTTTAATGTGCCTAGGGATGAAGTAAATCGGTGGTTGGAATTATTTGGACGATACTTACCTCGTGACCACACTGCCCCACGGAATTACTATGAGACCAAAAAACTTACTTCTAACTTGGGTCTTCCGGTGATAAATATTGATGCTTGTCGTAACGGGTGTATGTTATTTTGGAAAGGTGATAAAGAGTTAACACATTGTTCATTTTGTGGTGAGCATCACTATAAGTTGCAGGAGGATGAACAATGCACATCAAAAAGAAAAATTTGGACGGCTGTTTCTGTATTGGGATATCTGCCCTTGACACCAAGACTGCAGAGGTTATATGCGTCACGACAAACAGCTGAAGAGATGAAGTGGCATGCAATGCATGAAGCAACTGGGACTTTGATGGGCCACCCTTGTGATAGTGAGGCATGGAAACACATTGACATGATGTATGTGGACTTCGCCTCGGAGCCTCGAAATGTACGACTTGGTTTATGCTCTGATGGTTTCACCGCACATGGACAATATGGTGCATCATACTCTTGTTGGCCCGTCATCCTAACGACATACAATCTGCCTCCTGGTATGTGTATGAAATATCCCTACATGTTTTTGTCTCTCATTATTCCGGGGCCAATATGTTCAAAAAAGAAAATTGATGTCTATTTACAACCCCTTGTTGATGAATTGCACCATTTGTGAGAAGAGGGTTCGGTGACATATGACGTTGCGTCAAATACCATGTTCTCAATGCGTGCCATTTTAATGTGGACGATAAGCGACTTTCCCGCATAAGGGATGTTGTCCGGTTGGAGTACAACACGTCTCTTGGGGTGCCCTATTTGTATGGAAAGTAACAATGCAATGTACCTTAAGAATGGACGTAAGCCATGTTACTTTGACTGTCATAGAAAATTCTTACCACGCAAGCACCCTTATCAAAGGGACATTCATTCTTTTATAAAAGGAAAACAGGAAAGTAGTCCACCCCCCCCCCCCCCCAGGTTATCCAGACAACAAATATTTGAACGTATACGTATGATACCGACAGCAATTCAAGAGCCTAATGAACTACCACAAGGTTATGGAGACAATCACAAATGGACAAAGAAGAGTATTTTCTGGCAACTGCCTTATTGGGGAAGTTTATTAGTTAGGCATAATTTAGATGTCATGCACATTGAGAAGAATGTGTTTGACAATTTATTTTATACTACAGTGAACGAAAAAGATAGGACAAAGGATAATTTGAAGGCTAGGAAAGATGTAGCATTGTATTGTGATCGTCCAGGGATAGGAGTTGCAGCAGATTACACTGATAAGATTAACAAGGCTGTGTACACGGTTTCTACGGCTAAAAATAATA